TCCTTAGAAATACAAACACACTGCAAAAAATAAGAAAATGGAGGAACTGAGTACTAAATCTGCCCTGAACACATGCTATTGAGTAGAAAGCTGTCATTTTCACACATCCTTGAGTTCAAGCTTTATATGCTCTGTATTCCTGACATTCTATGAAACATCTCTTAATGATTAGAGTACGTAAGAGTAGCAGCGAGACCAGTTAAACCCTGTGTATCAGTGCAAGTTCTATGGTTATTAGTGTTACCCTTCCCAGGCATTGTGGGAATATTTTTGGAAAGTGATCTTAAGTCATTTAGGTCGCTATAGAGCAATCTCCAATATGATAAAAATACTTTTGTTAAAATGCAATCAGTGCTGTTACTGCCCTGCAGAAATCTGGTTTCCCTTCAGTTAAATCAATCCTACTATACATCTTCAAAAGAGGTGAATACTCCCCATACTATTCAGATGAGGAAACTGAGAAATTGTGCAGCTTCTCAGAATAAGGGAATGAGTGTTACAGAAACAGCAGCCAGATCTAGGTTTCCTGAACTTCCAGGTATGTTTGCCATTCGCAGGACTTTTGCCCCAGATGCAAAATATTTTTACACACATGGATGAATTTTGAGGCTAATCAGAAGAAGGTGAATGAGTATTATGCCAGTCACGGAGTTCATCCAACTAAGTACGTATAAAGGAAAAAGGGTTCTTCCTTAAGTCTGTATTTTCATACTTTCTGATTATTGTTTCTTTCTGAAATATATGCCTTTGAAATCAAGTTTATGACTTCAGGGTGGGAGAGGTGGGATATTGGGGCGGGGGTTATGTTATTTTTGTATGTATAGTCTTACTTGCAATATCAGCTTTATTTGGACATTTTGCATATGTCAGACCTGAAGCACAGTCCTATGGCTAAACCTGCACACTAGTGATTTATGCCCAACCGCTATATTAGAAATAACATATCCTGGCAACATGGATGAAAATAAGATAGTTTCAATATCTCTAATCTGCTCAAGAGACAGTATAGCACAATATATTAAAAAAAATCCTTTACATATAAAAAAAAAAAAAAAAAAAAAGAAACAAAAGAAAGAAAAAAATGTCCCCAAAAATTATATGAGAAAATCATTACTTAAATTGGAGAATGTTTGAATTAGTAAGGGAATTAAGAAACTGGCAAGCTGTGACAGTGTGATGTGCTCTATTTTACAATGCATGCCCCAGCATTTTGAAAAGCCAGGTCACCCCAAACCATACTAACAGGAAACAAGAAAAAAACGTGCTCTTGTGGCTTATTACAGTGCTCTGTTCTTAGCGCACTCTGAAGCAGAGCGCTTCGAAGAATAACATTTGTGTCAACTGGAGAGACACAATACTTCCACAGCAGACTTACCAGATCAGCATGTACTGATACTGGTTTCGAGGATGAAGTTGCCTATTATTTGCAGAGGATGAAGGAAAAGGGTATCTTGTGGATCTTGATGACTGAGTGAATGGGGGAGAGGGAGAAGGAGGATGTCTGACTGATATCACTATGCTGATAGTCCTGCTCAATCTCCTTGTAAACACAAGGTGGGTCCTTGATCTGTCTTTCTGCCAGCAGTATCAGTGTGAGAAGTACAGTGGGAGCCTAGGGAACTGATTCCACAGTTGTACCAGCAGACCAGTTGTCTGACAGCTGATGCAACTGAAGCATTAGCCTGGAGCTATACCCCACCTGCCTTCCCCTTAGCAATGCCAACGTAGTAGCACATAACCTACACAGCCATCTACACTGCAAAGAGAAACATGGTAAGTGCTTACTTTTGTTAAAAAATACTAAGGATGTTGGGGATTGGTTTAAGCAAAGGGAAGGAAAAAAAAGGTCTGTTTTAAGAAAGTATTAGTGTATTTTGTGTGTGTGTTCCTTTAGGATCACCACAGACACTTTTGTTTTGAACACAGTCCAAAAGGAGTAGAGCCTCAGTAGATCTGTCTGTCCTATCTCTCATCAGTGATGTGCTTTATGTGTTTTAGAAATGACACATCTAACAGAATAAAGCCACACTGACTACATGGACTGCATACCTTTCTGGATTTCTCATGTTATTTGGGAAGGCTAAGAGCTTTCCTCTGTGTGTGGCAATACATAAAATGGCCTCACTGGGTTTTCTCTAAGTAATAGAAATTCATCAAAGCACATCTTAAATTACTTATTATGGCATCATCTTGAACTAAAATGAGAGCCCACATCAGGAAAGAAGCTGTAAGGGATGGGAAGGCGTGGGAACTGAAAGATGACACATGGTAAGACACGCCATGTGCCTAAGGAGAAACTATGCTATTTCAGTTTACAAGATCTAGCCTGCTCGGTATACCCTAACAAGCATCACAGAGAGCTTGTTTAGGGTGCATGCAAACCAGCTGGGTGATCACAGGGACTACAACAGAACAGCAGCTGACACAGTAATGCGACTAAGATGCATTGCAATTGCAGTTAACTCTAGATAAACACAAATCCAACAAGCACTTGCAAATGATTTTAGCTTTAGTTTTTCAAAGGCAACTAAAGAAGCTGGATACACATGCTGCTTATTTTCAGGGGCCCTACCACCTTAGATTCTTGACAATTCCTCACTAGACTTGCTTGGTATTTCTGTGGGAGCAGTACAAGGCTTTCTTTATCAGTTACAGGAAGCCTTCCTGCCTGCCAATGTGTAATAGGCTCAGTTTTGGTTTTCTCTTTGTCACTTCAATAATAAAGTTATACAAAACAAAGAAAATAAAATTAAAAGCTTACCCAATGGCAGTGAGCATTGCTAAAAAGCATCTAAAGCAATCTTGTACCCTGTACTTGTTCTTTGCAAATTCATACTGATAGTAGATTTTATGATCTCATATCCAAAGTCCCATAATAAATGTCCCCAACTCAAAAGCCAATGAAAACAAAGGTTTAGATTAGAAAAACAATCAAATAAGGGGCAGTAACATTTCCAGTTTCTTACCTGCTACCTTTCCACTACTGCTGCTCAAATTGGTTGAGGTGCTACGCTGTCTGCATTTTACATATCAAATAAAAAATGTTTCCTGTCACAAAGGAGAGACAAATGCTTTTTACATTTCTTATTTCAAGACGCACTTGAAGACTCCTGTAATTATTCTATATTTTCTGATGCTTTAGCTCATTTCTGACCTGGTATTGTATTTCAGCAGCGGACTCGAGCAGGGGGCCCCCAGCAGAGTTTTACAGTACCTGTGGTGCAGGCTGATACTGCCACCTTGGGGAAGACTTTTTCCACGTACGTTGAGGAGCCTAAGCAAGTGTCCTATAAATCAGCTTGATTTTTTTCCTTGTCATATAGTCCCAAGAAGGGCTTCTTAAAATCTTCCGCCCGTGCTGTTGTAAGATCTTCCAGATGCATCCCAACTGGGACTGTATTACATTCACAATAATGATCTAAAGAAATGCCTTTTTCTGTGGAGACGTGTGCTTAGCCAAGTTATAGCCATCATTTAAGCAGTGCCTCATTTCCAGTACTCTTTATTTTACAGCCATCTTTCTTAGCATAAAAGTCCTGTTCTGCATGCAACTGAGCAAGCTATAATTTGCATACAACAGTCTGCTTCTGGGATTCTACCTTTCTTGGTAGTCTAAATCCTTGTCCAGGCACAGCCAAATTATCCCCTTGGCAGGCTATTAGCTCAGTTGGATGTGACTGCTAGGACATACCTCTGCTTCAGATGTCATAGAAGGCATTACTGTGCATAGGAACAGTCCAACAAAAAGTACAGAGCTACACTGTGACAATATAACCAAAATCAAGACTTCTAGGCAAATTAAAGAAAGCATGTGGATTTATATCTACAGGTTTATGAGGAAGACCTATCATTTTGCTTTACAAGTCACCCTCCGTTCAGACTTGAGTTCATATCCATTAGCAAATGAAGGAACCTTGCTACTTTATATATAAATATAGGCTTGATACACAAAGACTGTGCACAGGATTGAGCCGCAAGCCTTTTCACAGTGGAAATAATCAGTGGTTGCCTTGGCTACACATGCAATACAGGAAAAGATTTAATGTTTCACCTCTCATCAGGTGAGGCTCAAGAGCAGGAAACTGTCTGAAAACAACTAACTTGTCTATCAATGTAGTCAAAACCACCAAGCAACAAAATTATTACACATCCATCTGGAGCCAAGTAACAAAACCAGTGAATTCTTTCATGATGAATGATGCAAATTTACACAAGGAGGATGTGAAGGCACCATTAACTCCTACCTTCTGCTAAAGCACTAGCTGTGCTTGTGGTACCACAGCGGAAGACAACAGGCTTCTAGAGCAATTCAAGTCTCTCTCCACTGCTGTGGCAGGCAGGAACAGCCCTAGCACTGCAGTAACCCAATACTTACCGATTCCCACAGAGAACTAAATTTTGGATGACAATATCACCAGCTGGACTGGCCTATCAAAACACCTTCCTGTTTTCCTCCCACCACAGACAGCCTAGTACCAGATTCCTGTTCTTACTGTAATGGCGCATACCTTAATACCTCTGGAGTAAACATGTGCTTCCACCCATCTGGGATTTAGAGCCAGAGAGGAGGCTTATCTAAACCCTTCCTTGTGAACAGACAAGGGCTTATTCCAATCTTTCATTTTATTGCTACAACCTGATAATTAATGCACAAATTCGTATTAATTTCATCATTAAGGCATAGAAGTTTAAATTAATGACTTTCCCCCTTGTGCAAAATTGTCTAAAATGCAAGTGATAGGTTCTTACTGGACAGTCTTTTTATCCCTGGTTTTAATGCTACTATAGCATGGCAAAGAATTACGCTTGCAAGAGAAATCATGGAATCACAGAATGGTTTGGGTTGGAAGGGACCTTGAGATCATCTAGATCTAAAACCCCTGCCAAATGTTTCAAGCTAGCAAACCAGCAGCTAACACATACGACTGGCAGTGGTGCAAGTCTTCAGTCTTCTTCCAGATTTCACAAATAATTTCTGTATTTTAATCCATTTTTTTATTATTATTTTAATCCGTATTTGTTAGGCAAACAGCTTTACATCTGCATATGCTTTACATGGTACTTTGAAAATATTGCAATTATTAATTCATTAAAATTATAAGAGAAAGTTCATCTGCTCTTCACATGCATATATGAACACCCATTCAAGAACATGCAGCACAAAATAATCCCTGACCCTCCATTACCACTGTCACATTTAACTGATGGTAGAACAAAAGTAACTTAAAAAAAAAATAAAATTCAAATTCAACTTCATACAATCACTAAAGTGATTGCAAAAAACGCATCTGCAGCTAAGTTGCAAAAATTCATTGCCAATTACTGACCAAACCTATTAAATGGAGATCTATTAGTAACAGATTAACCAGGTTAATGTGTACGTATCAGTCTCAGCATGGTACACTGCTGCTGTTAGTTTCAAAGTTCACATATGAACTTCTTTTTACACTGCACACATGGTTCGTGAAGTCTGAATGAAAAAGGAATTTAAGGGAAAATAAGGTAAGTGATATAATATGAAATTAATGTCATTATTTAAGCATAGACTGCTTACTGGAAAAAAAAAAATAAATCCTCGATCACAGGAGGATGGGGCCAGGAGGGGGCTGGTCTCTGCTCCCAGGGAACAAGGGACAGGACGAGAGGAAATGGCCTCAAGATGCACCAGGGGAGGTTTAGATGGAGATGAGGAACAATTCCTTTCCCAGAGGATGCTCAGGCATTGGAACAGGCTGCCCAGGGCAGTGGTGAAGTCACAGTCCCTGGAAGTGTTCACACACTGTTTAGGTGAGGCCCTCAGTGCCATGGGTTAGTGGTGGCTTTGACAGTGCTGGGGAATGGTTGGACTTGATGATCTTAAAAGTCTTTTCCAACCTGGTTGATGTTTCTATGATTCTGTGATTCAAAAAAGGAATACAAAACATGCATGACCACCACGTCATATTACTGTGCGACAGAAAAAGAATACAATGCATATCCAGACTGATGAATAACTGATGACAACCATTTCATAATGTGTCTTTTTTAAAAAGGTATTTTTAGTAAAAAAAAAAAAAGTAAATTGATCATTGAAAAATCCACAAAAACCTTACTTGAATTCAGTAGGGAAGATCATAATGCTACAAAATTAGTATGTTAACAGCTCTTTTATGTTTGGCTTTGTACTGAAGTTATTTCAGAAAGATTGATTTGGGCATGGGCTTAATATGAGGGAGAAAGCTGGAACTGCATGTGCAAGAATCTAAATAAACTAATCACAGGAAATCCCATTCTAAAATTATTCAGGATCTCTTTGAGTGCCTAAACATAGCATGTTAAAAAAAAAAAACAAAACCAAACCATAAACACCACAACAAAACAATAAACCACCAACAAAAAAAACCAAACTTTCTCAAGTTCAGGTGCCACTGACAACTTGAAACCAACTACTTCTTTGCCAATAGTTTTCCATATTAGAAACACCTCTGAATTTATTTAATCAGTCAGTATTCCTGTTAGACAATTAACGTGCACCAAAACCCCTTCAGATACTAGATTACAAAAAAGTACAAAGAGAACAAGAGTATGTATTTATAAACAATTACAGTAACTGTAAATTACACCCATCACTCATCCCCATCCACCAGTCTACGCTTTTCTTTTCCACTAACTGCACTGTAAGTCTAGAGGTCTGTACAGTTGCAAAGTCTTGATTTCATGTGGGGTTAGAACCTGCAGCATTGGCTATTTCAGCCTTTTCATTAGGACATACTTCTAACATTTATCTACATCAGAAAGCACTTTCAAATTACCATCTATTTCAAAATTCAGTGGTAGCTGATCAAAGACATACTCTAAGCTGTTCTCTGCTGTGAAAAAGTGCTCCTTCCTTGACTATCCAATTTTTTTTCCTAAAAACTAAGTAAAGACTTACTTCTTGAAACATGGTCACTTAATAACAGCAGCAGATGTCACCATTCTCTCCTTCCTCCCCTAGCTTTCCTCCTTTTCATTACCAACTCTATCTGCATGCTGATCCTGTTTTCCATGGTTGTTTCCTAAGTCCTTCCTTCCTGTTGCTCTTCCTTAGCTTTATCTGCTTTACTTGTTCCCCACACACTTCTCACACCCAATTCTTTCCCAGCTCTTCAGTTTCTGCAAGTGTATGAGCTCAGCCTGTTAGGTTGCTCTTGTACCTGTGACACCTTCTGTGGGGTCTTGTTATTTTTAAGAAGCAGACTAAGAAGGGCAGCAAAGAGCTGTCTTTGGATCAGGCAGAGGTATACGTGCTGTACTTCATGTCTAGCTACGCCACACACTCCTTAAACATTTCAAGCAGGGCATGACACTCAAAAGATACTGAATTTTACAGTTTTTTGCTGGATCTTCTGAAACAGCTCATGTTATTTGTTCTTCACCTAATGACAGGTTTGGGGATAAAAGCACAGAAAATGCCAGGCAGCAATGAGATGACCATCAACCTTGTTGTCCTTGGAAGAACTCAGAGTGGTAAAAGTGCTGCTGGGAACAGCCTGCTGGGCAGCTCAGACTTTAAGAATTATTGCTCTCCAAGATCTGTGACTACATGCTGCAGCCTTGGCCGCAGCTGCTGTATTTTGGGAATTATACGAAGAAATGGCAGTGAGCTAGCTCTCCGTGTTCGAGTACTTGACACTCCAGGCTACCCTCACAGTAATCTGAGCAAAGAGCAGGTGAGAGACAGAGTGAGCTCAGCCCTGGCTCACCACTTCGGGGAGGAAGGCCTGCATCTCGCTCTCTTGGTCCTCAGGGCTGACTTGCCTCTGTGTCCGGATGAAAGCTATCATACAACTCAGTTCATCCAGGTAACAAATTAATAGTCACTGCCCTAATGGCAACTCTTCTATCTTCAGGTGACAATAGCTAGGAAAGAGTTGACTGTAAAAGTGAAATACAGAAGTGCAGCTGAAAACATTTCCTGAAACACAGCATTCACAACTCCCAACACCACAGCTACACTTACCACACTAAAACTGGAAATAGGCCAAAACTGTTCTCCCTGTGCATGGGCTTTTCTCCTTTTCAAAGAAAATTCTTCTCTCAGCAATCAGTTAAAACTTTATCATGAAAGTTCTAGCTGATTGAAAAGCTTTTAAAGCAAGCAAAAATCAGGTTACCTCACCCTCCTGCACTCTGTGTAGACAAAACGGAGCAACAGGTCCAAAATCCCACAGAAAATCTGACTGACCTGACACAAGGATGCTCAGCTCTGTCCTGCACTGTCACTACTGCTGTATCTGTAAGACAGAACAACTAGAAAGTTACCATGAATTTATTCATAAACGAAAAAAGATGCCAACAAATAGATAGTGCTCAGCTTATCTGTCTGATCAGATGAACTACTTTTGGACTATTAATGACAACAGAAAGGGTTTCAGTTGTTGCCAAAGTCACATTATGCTTTGCATCTGTCTTACACTAACGAACTTTATAAACATCTTTAGGACGAAAAGGACTTCCTGGTTCATCAAATCTTATCACCTGCTGTAACTGGTATTACCTAAATACATCTATAACATATATATGTAGTTAAAAATATATCAACATATACATATAGAGATAGAAAAACCGCTTTCAAGTGTTTCGATTTGCTCTTCTGTTACTTTCTGATTACTCTTTATTGGTAGGCTACTCCTCAATTTTCCAGTAGTTTAAGAGTTGGTTCTAATTTCAACACTCTTATTCATTATCTGTTTACATATACTTGTTTTCAGTGTTACTCTTTTCCCTTATACAGTTCTCCATCTCTCTATACTCCATGGTATTAAAGAGCAGCATTTACTCAAACTATTTTTACTCTAAGCCAATGAAAAATTATCATGTTCCTCAGTTTCAGACTGTTCTGGATCAAGTCCATGTGGGCATTAAAAGCGTAAGAGATGCCACTATGCCTTTTCTCTTTAAACGGACCCTTAAAACCCATACTGGAAAGAAAGCATGTTTAAAAATGATGATAAAGCAACACTTCTGTTTCATGATTACAGCTTGCTCTCAGCACATATAATGGTCAGCTTTTTAGTTACTTTCCACTTAGCAGACCAGATGCTGTGATTTCCTCAGCCACAACCAGGGCAGGGCAGCTGCCCGGATGTCAGGAATAGGAACTCTGTACTTTTATTGGTTATGTTTCAGTATGTCATTCCAAAAAGACATTAGCCTGAAGACTACCTTTAGCAATCAGGAGTTTTCACAACGTTCCTCTGCAAATTACAGATGGCGTATCAGTGAAGATAACACAGCCTAATGAATTCAGAGTGGTGGATACTGACTTCAGAACATTAGCATTGAGTGTGAGTCCTCAGCAAATCAAGGCACTATCCTTTCTTTCCAAAACTGATAACGCATCACATCCTTAGACAGCTTACCTCAAAAATTTGTGTGGGTACAATTTTTTTTTACCCTAGTGTCTAAAACAGATTAATCACTATCAATACACAGTTTTTTCTAACTCCCTGCTTACCCTGGAAGTAGAAAGGTATACTTTAAATCAGTTTTATGCACCTTGGTATTTAGGCTACAGTTAAGACCTTTGCAAAGTGGACTTTATTCCAAGTAGGTTCCTTGTCACACACGGGCGTTAGCATGATTGCACTGAAGTTGTAATTTCATTTACGTCTGCAAATGAAAGCCTGAGCACTTATTGCCATTAAAATTTTCTATACTCATTGCAAAAAGCAGCTTGTTTTCTCCATTCCCCTCCATCAGATGAACCACAGTAGTTAGACAAACTCTCTGGCCCATAGCTCAGATTGATGCATTTGATTTGTGATTGTCCTGAATTGCTGAGAATAGCTCAATTTTACAGGATGTAGCTGGAACTGCAGTTGGTCCTATGTATAAATTCATCATTTATTTTTTCAACACAAGGTAATTTGGTGATTTTGAAACGCAAATTTCAAATACCTGTAAAAACTGTAGAAATATGGATATGAGGAAACTAAAGATTTAAACAAATGTGTGACACAGCTAAACAACCATTTTTCCTTATTTACATAGACATTTTTTAACTGGAGAAATATTATCCACATCTGTAGCAAGAGAACAAAGAACTGCTAGCACTGCACAAACACATATTTCTACTTAAAATGGATGTCAATGTCTTGGGAAGGTGAAAAACCCCAAGAATTTCAGCAACTCAGATAGCATGAACTGGATTACTGCCAGGAAAAGAACATGTAGCTGGTCTGTTAATGCCGAAGTATATGAGGTGGCAGCGGGTAAGAGGAACAAGGAAAGATAACTATTTAGGATTTGGTTTTTTATTACAGGAACTTCTGGGTCCCACATGGAAGGATTTCACTGCAGTTCTACTTACTCATGCAGACAAGGCAGAAGAGGCTGGATTCAGCGAGGAAGAATACTTGCACAGTGCCTCAAGTACCCTGTTGTCACTTTTGAGCTCAGTACAGCATAAATACCTCTTCCTAGACAACCATAAGAGCATAATTAAAGAGGAAAGAGCTACTGTCTTAAGAAAGCTCTTGAATTTTATAAAACAAAATAATTATCAAAAGCTTCCACTTAAACATAACAAAGCATAAAATTAGCTTTCAGGTGCTCATTTGTCTATTTGCTATAGCAGGTAATATTTAATAAAAGAGTACTGGAACTGGAAAAGCCAACACCCATACAAAATACCTCTGAACAGTTGGAGATGTCTCCTTAGATTACCAAACTACTTGTCCTTCAGAGTACCTCACACTAGTGCATCCACAATCGTAGCTTCAAACACAAAATTCAAACAAGCTAGTGCTCTAAATCACAGTCCTAATATACATGTAGTCACAAATCAGATTTTATTCTCCACCAAACTATATACTGCAGTTCTTACAGAACACTGATCTGGAAAATAAAAGTTAAAAATGAATATTCAGACTGCTTCTTCAAGTTTTCAGGAGTTTCTCTGAATTCCAAAGTTTGTGAAGAGCTTTCAAGTATTAAATGCTAAGTTTTAAATACTGTAAAAGTACTTCTTTACCCCGAGTAAGAACTAGTTAGAATTGAGATTCTGAACTCCAAGAAGTTTGTTTAATACGACATTACTGGCTATGTAGTTTACACAGCAGATAAAATAGCTCCTATGTGCTTAACACTATTCAGCACATTTAAAGAACCAATACTCTTGCTTATTCCCCGATGCATGAAAAATTAATACAGTTTACAGGCACATACAAAAATCATCTGAAAAATAAAACCATTCATCTCTTCTTTTGTGCCTGTTCCTTTTAATTTTAAGTTATTGTCATTTTGTTTTACCAACCAGTTTACTGGATGAAGTTCAAAGCCTACAAAATCAGAGTGGCTATATGTTTTTTATTTCAGTAGTTAAAAAAGCACTTACTGTTTCAGTGGTTAGAAAGTAAGCAGTTAATTAAATATTACATGCCAAAGTATCTGAACTATCTCTAAAGATTTACTTCAAAAGTTTATTGTAAATTGATCTAAAATAGTTATTTTCAGATTATTAAAAGGCAGGAATTAAAAGAAGCAATTTGAGGCTATTACCACAGCAACAATGGCTACTTGTACTACATTATTATGGAATAATTCTAATAGTAACAACTGAAGAAGCTATTTCTGTTTTATAAATAATTTTTTTATATATATATACATATATATATTTTTTATAAAATATCACTGCGTAAAAACACATTAAAACAAAACAAACCTAAAAAAATTCAACTCATTTTATACCTGTTGGGGCACTGGAAACAGATATTTTTATGATAGTGTTTGACTAGCTCTGGCAGTCCATCTGCTCTTCATTCTTTTGGAAGGAAATATGAAATGGACTAGATAGATAAGACAAATAACTGTTACAGCAAAATGACAGTTTTGATCTTACTAACATGGTAACTTAATTGTGGGACAAGAAATTACACCTATTTGTCTATTTAGGGCACAAAGGGTCATAGTTTAATCTTCCCCTTACAACTGTCTGCAGACTACTGAGACAACACAGCCAAGAACAAGTTTGCAGAAGTTTATAATATATGTGAAAACTGCTTACATAAAGACGAGAAAAACTATTAAAAGGTAACAAGAAGAATGAAGATAATCATGGTCTTTACTGACCAACTGCTAGTCCTGCACCTCTTGGAGAACAGTTAGCACAAAAGGAAGATGGCAGAAATTTTTCCTTATTGAGATGCTCTTGCTCCATAGAGCATCTAAACCTTTTAGCTGTCCAGAAAATATGCTTGCCTCCCTGTATTTCTACCATGAACAAGCTTTGTCAATGAAGTCTTGAGCACTAAGTGGTTAATGACCTTTGACAATACTTAACCTCAAGGACAGTAAGCATGGTGAATGTGTGAAGTGTGAAAGTGTTGAAGCATAACACATTCTGTACCCTCTGGAAGAGCAGTCAAACAAAAAGGGTATTAGCCATGCATTTCATGTTTTTTATTGTGCTTGCATTACTTTCCATCTCAACATCTAAAAAAAGTTTCTAACAACCATTTATTTATTTAATTCCGCTGTTTGCCATGGTCTCTGCCCTGCAGACTCCTTTTCCTTTCACTTCAAAAGGAACTCCTTTGTATGTAGCAACACACTGGTCATTGGTATGAAGATCAGGTTGAATCTGCTCCCAAATCTTCTTCTTGGGATTAAGTTCCTTCTCAGGATCTCCTGTTTCAAAACAAAGAATAACCTAATAGCACACAACACAGAAGGCAGAGCAAAAGATCTATTTATGCAGGCTGTCACAGATGTGTACATAACTTCAGCACATACACTTTTTTTTTGGGGGGGGGGGATGGGGGACAGGGCCAGAGGGAACCCACAGACATTACCAACAATTCTCAGAATGAATACTTCTAACTGGAACTAGGGATATTCTAGGAAATATCTCTAGAACATGTCTCTAAATGCTGTTTTTTCAGGAGGGAAGAAAGGTTTTAAGTAACAGACTACAAATACTGTCCAAAAGAAGAAATAAAATCATTGCTGGCTGTTGATTTACACAATTTACTAGAGACCAAAAGGGTTCCTAAGAATTAAGTAGATGTGGACCATAGAAATATACTACTCACCTGTGTTGACACAGGTTTGTCCACATCTTAAATTTATTAATTAATATTAAGTGCATTTGGCAGGTGCCCTTACAATTGAGAAATATTGAACTTTGTCAAAAATAGTCCAAAATTAGGATACTGACGCATAATCTTAGCCCCGAGTTTCAACACTGTTCTTACACTTCTTTTTGTACTATTTGATGGTGCTTAAAATAACAGCATTAGCAATCAGCTTGTATTTCAGCAATTATGGCCTCAGTCTCTGCAAGTTTCAGTTCCCTGTTGCTGTGTACACACCCTGGTAAGCTACAGAGCCCCTAGAGGTATCGACAGTCTAACTACATTACCAAATCTAATTATTTAAGAACCTCTAATGACCACAAGCCAACTATAAGGCTACATGGACTTCAATGTATGTGTTTCCAGTAGCGGTTTGAAGTTCATTATTGCTCGGTGTATTCCGGACTGGATGACCACAGGCAGTCAAATGAACTACTCTCCTTCCTCCTGTGTTATTGTTTTTCTCCTTCAGATATTTTCAATGGTTCAATCTACTCATTCTCAATGCTTCCAAAAGTAAGTTACTTCTGCCTGTAGAGAGGTCTAAGTTCTGTAACTTCTATATCTGTAACTGTGTAAGAGAAGTAGACCAGGCCAGATTTCTCCGTTAAGTAGGCTAGCCTTGCTAGAGCAAAATTCAATAATGCAGCTGAGTTATTTCACAACCACAGTGAAATTAATATTTAAAAGAAAAATCAGTAATACCATTAGTAAATTAAACATTTAGAGCTAACTGTGCATTTTAACAAAAGTAAAAATCCTGCTTAATGCTCAAGTTCATAAGCAGAGGCAGACTTGGACTTAGACTAAAGTGAATGCATACAAACTAATAAAATCATTAAACAGAATGTCAAATGATCTGCGCATTTCTTTCCCCCTCCTTAAATATAAAAAGCAAGCAAATTTTTTTAGTAAGAAAAAACCCTTGACTTTTATTATATAAACCATGCTTTGGATGTTTCATTGGAATCCTCTGTCAAGCTCCCTTGGGATCTGTGGTGAGCTCATATTAGATTAGCATAGGCACCAATTTTAAATATTACCAGAGCTTTAGGCTGTGCATTTGCCTATGAATTCTCCTCATTGCATTCCTTCTTCCCAGAAAATATTCTTTAGAAGGGTTTCCATAACTAAATTTAAACTTGTACAGGCTTAACAAGCTTCTCACTCTCTTTACACAAAAAGAAACAAATAAGAGGTCCCAAATTTTGTTACACGTCACTCAGTTTGGCAGTTTAAATATTACAAAAGAATTTCCCATAATAAACAAGAAACCTCTCTGCTTTGTAACAGCTCAATAAGTACTGAAAGAATGTGTAAGAAGGGGCAAAAAGTTGGGGTGATGTATGTGACCTTATGAAAAATTAATACCACTTAGCTGCTGTGTGTTATAACTATACAACTGAAGGAAAGCATCTGTCCTCCAAAGCTTTAATTAAAGAAACCTGTTAAATACAGACTAACCACTGCACTCCACTTCTAGCACTTTCTATTTTTTTAAAGAGATAATTATTACTAAATTGCCAAGGTTTCTTAGACCAGAATCATTACTTTATTACATAAATAAGTAACAGATATATGACTCCTGTGACATTTTTGCGTTGAAGAGTTTTGTCAAAGTGTCAGTTATACTGCTATTAGAAAGCAGATTTGCCAGTTAGCTGTGAAATCTCCAAGAATTATTGCTGCCTTACAGCAGTTACTGTGTGGGAGGGTGTAGTGTTTACAGACATATAATGGAATAATTTTTCAGTGGCTCATAAATTGGACCACTGAAGGAGGACAGAAATTTGGTGAAGTTCTTAATACAACAAAAAGTCCAACAGATCTTGAAGATTCATGTATTGGAGTATACAACAGTGTCAAGTCCACTTAAGGGCAATAACATAAAACAAATAGAAAGGAAGACTCCTCCAGACAACGGCATTCCTTACCAAATCATTTCCCTATGATACTCAAGATAGTTCTAGGAAAACCCTCAAGTCTGCAGAAAAAAGTCCAATTGCTTTGAATCAAGACGCCATGTGTTTACTTTGACTAAAAGGACCAAGGAATATTAGCCTGTATCTCATGAATACTTTTTTATGGTAGAAAGAGAAGGCTTAAAAATAACTTGACTCCAGGCTGCTTGATGGACAGCTGCATATGTTTTAGAGTTGCTTTATTGTTGCTGCTGCTGCTTCTGTTGCTTCATAGGCTTTCATACTTCAAACTAAAATAAGACCCAGCTGTCCTTTCAATTTTAATTTCAAGGACTCGAACCTTTATGCTTTAAAATAACTTGATCAGAATGTAAACGTTTAATTACAAATACTGAAATTAAATGACATCTGACATAGCAAGGATTTTACCCGCCTCATTACAGTACTATGAAGTGCTAGACTGCCTTCAAGGAGATATCAAACTGATCAGAAGTTGATAATTACTTGGACAAAAAGGTAAGTAGCATAAAACCTTAGTCTCTAGCTAAAAGAAATTAAAACCAAACCCCCCAGGTGACTATTTGCAATCCTTTATTTGTACAATATTAGTATACTAATAATAAAATAGTTCAAATATAACTAAACCAGAAAACTTCACCAACAAAAAAAAATGCAACCAGCTTTAAAATACTATTTTATCTGCTTCAGCACTGAGGTCAGCCATTTTCTCCACTTTCCCAGATACCTACTTACCAGGAAAACCATCAAAAGTGATTCTATCTCCAGGTACTGCCCCGGGTGGGGGAGCCAGAATTTCCACTTTTTCTGGGGAGCTGGCACACATCACCATTGCCTGAGATACTACTCCTCTCATCTTTGCGGGCTTCAAGTTACAGAGTAGTATTGCCATTCGATTCTGCATCTTGGGGAAGAAAACGGAAGGATGTGAGAAGTTAAATACCATATGCTTTTGGAGATTCCAAATATTTCATTACAGCAAAAGAACCACAATGAAGATACGTTAATATGGACAAGAAACACAGAAACAGATGTACAGTTTTAATGCCTGGACACCAGTAACAACAATTAAACCACTTGAGAGTTGGCCAGGGAATAATGGAGTAATTGCTGAATTGTGACATACTTATGGAAAAACAAAACGTGCAGTTCAGAAATCCCAAAACCAGGCAATGCATTTCACCCACATTCCATCTTTACTCGTTCTAGATCATCACTTCAGTCTACTTTCAATATAGGAAAATCAACCAAGCAATTTCCATTTAATATTAATAGTGAAAAAAACCAACCCAACAAACAAATGGACAACCAAAAAAACCAACACCAAACCCCATCCTACAAATTAGGCTAGCTCACAGTTAAAAATTTCAAAGTGTGTACTGGAAATATACAGGTGTTTCACATAATCAGTTCACTTGAATCTTAAATATTACTTGTTTAACCCAAATGGTTTGAATTACTTTTTTAGCCATTAAATATGGCTGCGTATACTGTGCACTGCAATTTGTTAAAACTGTAACACTAGTTATCTTCCTTTACTGTTTTATTTTAATAAAAATAATAAACCAGGGAAAACATACTTGGTTAGGGGAAACTGCCACACTTAGGCCTAAAAAACAACACGTTTTCAATAAAAATTAAATAAGAAATTGAGAGAGAGACAGAAAGTAAGAAGCCTTAATGCCCACACTCTTACTAAAGATCTATTTCTTGATTTTGGTCTTTCTGCATTACAAAATAAACTTAAAAAAAAAAACCCCTGCAATATTAATACTTGATCATATTGTGTTTTATTAAGTATTCTGATTATACCATATTTTCAAAGTAAAACAATTTAAAAGAAAAAATATCAATACCCAAAATGAAACAGTTACAATAACAAGCTGATCTTGCATAAACTTTAAGGAAGCCCATTGACTGAAACTTTCTTAAATTACTGCTACACAAGAAATGGCTGTAAGATGTCAGCGACACTGAAGTGCAAATTGTAGATATTATCTATCACTGAATAAAAATTGGCAAATAGATAAATAGAATAGAAGAAACAAGATTTCTGCATTTGGTACTCAACTTTAGTTTTGACTTACTGGAAAAAAATTCAGAATTCAGAGCATTGCTTTTTTATTACAGATTATACAACTGACAAAACCAGACTGTATTAATACAGAAATGGAGATCATCATCTTCAGCAAACTAACATGAGAAAAAAAAAACTAGCATCACATCACTCCCTCCTCTCCAATCAGTGGCCCAAATGTTTACATATATTGCATGATATTTTTGTATGAGAAGTAGATTACTATTACAAAATTAAGACGTACTTATAAACATTTCAAAGATACACATTATTCCACCACTTTTACCTCAAATGCTTTTGAAAAACTGCTCTAAACTAAGATTCACATTGATTTCACAAATTAATGGTAAAAAACCCACAAGGTTAATTTTTATAAAACAAAAAGAAAATCCCACCCCAAGATGGTCAGCCAAAACCATAACTCTGCTATTTGAAGGGTGGTTTTTTGCTCTTTATTATAAATGGCTCAATTTTTAAGCCTGTCTTCAGATAAATGACAATTCCTTAAGAACAGAGAAAAAAAGAAACTTGACCTGAACAAGTGCTTCCTGACTGCAAAAGTTTTCGGTTGTTGTGGGTTTCCAGAAAACACAGGACTGATTACAATAACAACAGCTCTGTGTTCAGGCATTCCTTCTGTCAAGGAAGCTGATGTTTGTGTGTCATTCTATCTGCACTGCTCTTAAGAGATCTTTATACAGTAAATGATAAATTAAACCCTGAAAAGCAACAGCTACAAAGGGTCATATCCTGTAATTCTACTGATGATCACTCTCTGTAACCACAAAAATTAGAGGAACATATAAGCAACCTAGTTTTTCAAAGCTAAGTGTAAAAGTAAATTTGGGAGTTTCCTGACAGATAGATAAGATTGGGCAGAAAAAAAAAATAAATCTGACTCCCATTATGTGAAAAGTTCTATCAGAAATACAGGGAGTTACTGAAAGCAGCTGAAGGTGACACAGATAGTGTGCTTCCTTCTGCATATCTCTTATTATCCAGTAAAGTAAAACTATAGGGTAAATCTCTACACTTAAAAGGAAACAAACAGAAGCAAGTCTTTGTCTACAGGGAACTGATAAGTCTTTGATAGCTCAGGACATGTTTGATACATAAATGACCTGAGACTCAGCAAAGGATATTCAAATGTTATCTCCTTGAAGAAATAGTAACAATCACTGTTGGCCTTCCAAAGAGCCTTTTGTTTCAGAAATCCAGGAACTCCAAAACTGACAACTAGTGATAAACTCATTTACTTTCAGCAAATATGTTAGTTGTGACAGTTTCTAAGGTTGTGCGCACAGCTACTTCACATTCAGAATAAAATAATGCAGTTTCCCAACATGAATGAAGCACAGGAACTAAACCAAGGAAAAGTTAATCCTGAAGTTTACCATACACAAACCCCAAGACTTTACCCATACCCGTCTAACTTGTTAATCGGGTAGCTATCCTGCTCTATCTCAAGATCAGACAGTGTGCCAGACTGCAATGGCTAGTAAATAAGAGTTAAAACCAACACACTGATTGCTTTAAAACTAGAGCAAGCTGCAATGCTAACACCAACAAAAAGCCCTCCTTAATCTATTACATGCTGGCCTGCATCTTAAATTTTCCAGGAAATGTAATTTTGCCAGCAAAAGTAAGAAGCTTGGTTATACAGATTTCTATTTGTTTCATATCTGAAAAGAAACACAGTAGCACTTAATATACTTGAAGCCTAATGCCACAAAAGCAGAGGAAAAATGGTTTAAGGAAGGTGTCTTCTATTACACAGAATGTGTCAATATGTTTACAATCATGCTGTAGCCACGGTTCTTTATAATTTATAGAAAAATGTTTTCCATGCAGACTAGACAAGGAAAATCAGAAGATCAAGAGTATGTACGAAGAACATAATTACCACTCTATTTAAGAAAAATAAATGTAAATTCCAGTACCATTTGCTAATTCCTGGGTGGACAACATTAACCCTTAAATAATGCTCTAGAAAGAAAAAAACATTAAGCCAATTTAAAAAGAAAGGAAAAGTTTATGGTATAAAAATGAGACTATACAGTTCCTAACAGATATAGCTGTAATGCATTCTCTCACAAAAAAACGGTTGCAGGATAGCGTTTCTGATGATGACCTCTTCTCTTCTTGCTAGGTTTTAAGATACATGCCCTGAATTCTCATCCTTCACTTTAGAACACTGACATGAGCATCTCCTAGGTTAAAGGGGATTTCAGGGGAGAAAAAAAAGCAATACTTGAGAATGGTCTGTACTTCAAGAATAATTGCCCGAGACAGGTATTGATGCTAGGAACACACAGAGATCCACTTCAAAAAGCCAGATGCAGTGGCAGAAAAGCTGTCTATTCCTGCTGGCATTTCAGAATGTTCTCCAGTTGTCCTCAGCTGCTGCTGAAAGAGCCAGTATTAGCATGGTCCATCTTGTGCTTCAGTTCCATATCCCTGTTACCATCTGTACAAGAGATACTTGGGACTGCAACTTTTGACTTGGCTTCACCACCAGCAGTGGTACACAAAAGCAGAATGTACAACACATGAAGTAGGCATGCAAGAAGTTTTCACACCCCTAAATAACTTGCACTGCATACCAAAATGTTAATGAAGATATACATTGTGCTTCTTAACCAAAAGTAAAATCAGATGGTACAACACTGCTAAATTAGATCAATCATAAATAGCTGATTTTTTTTTGTGAATTACACCCCTAGCCCTTGATCTGACTGACATACTTATATAAAAATCTGTACGTAGTTTCATGGCAGGCCTTCACGTCTTTGAACACTTAAAAAACCCACAAAAGATGGAAACTTGCCCCTAAGAATTTACTCTCTAATACAGACTTGCTGAAAACCAAACCCTGACACACAAACTAGCTGTTCCCAAAGAACGTGCAAAAATGATCCCTAATTCTTTTTTAATGAGTACTTTGGATTATTTTTTCCAGACAGAAAGCAGGTTCAAGAGAAAAGACTGGTACTGCCACTGCATTCTATACACTTCATGTTCCTAAGTTTATTTAGACAGGCTTTAAAGATGTTTTTCTACATACATACTTTGAGAGTTGACTTACAACTTGAGAGTTGACTGCTAGCAATTTGAATTTCTGTCCACTGCAAATCTAGTAACTGGACATTATCAGGTGTCAGCACAGAACAATTAGTGTATTTACTATTTTTTTTCAGTTCAGTAACTTTCTGCATCATAACAACAATCACAATTTTAATTGCTTTCTGTACTTGCAGTCTTAACACAGGGACAGGGCATTAATAAGGACTGAAAAGCCACTTGAGAAAATGCTGCTTTTCCACACTAAGATCAATTACTTCATGACCCGTTCCACAGTTGATCTATACAAAATCGCTTTAACTGCCAAGACTGTATTTGAATTTAAAAGCAGCCTTCAGTAAATTCCTGCCTTCCATGAACCCTTTAGAAGGAAGGTTTCTCTAAAAGGAAAATGTAATCTTGAAGTATTAGATTGTTCCTAAGACATACACAAACACAAAATGTATCTACTAAAAAAAGCACAGAGGCAGACCCTATTCTGGACAAGAAAGTAAAAATACACATTTTGAATTCCTGTTGTTTAAGCCGCTCACTACCATCTAAGTCAAATTTACATGCGCTTTGCTTTACTGCATGCCAAACACTTCAACAGGCTATGAAGAAAATTGGATGGCAAAGGTTTCAAAAGTTTGGCTGATAGCAAAATAATTTATTATGGGTTCTCTATTACATACTAGGAAACCTGAAGGGAGAGTCACATCTGTTTGGTTTAGGAGCCCACTGTGTATTAACGGCATCACAGAGGAGTCAGGACATGATCCCAGGAGGGAAGCAGAAAGGAGCTGATCAAGGGGAAGAGTACTCCTCTGTTTTCTGGCAAATGTTGTTAAGTGTTACTTGCGTTTGCATTTCACTTTTTTTTTCATGACCACAAAAATCTTTTAGCAGATGAAACACATCCTATAAACAACATGTTTATGAAGCTCTTGAGATACTTGAGGAATGGAAAAGATATCAGTAAATAATTTTGTCAATACCTGATCCAGAGAAACATGTTTCACTAAACCGCTGACAACAGTCCTTGGGCTTGCTTCACCAACATCCACTTCTTCAACATACAGAGTGTCTGCATCTGGATGCTTTTTGGCAGTGATAATGCAGCCAACACGAAGATCCAGTCGAGAAACATCTACAGGTTTTGCATCACTACTTCCAGCAGCTGGCTGCTGTTTCTTCTCCTTCTTGTCACCTATTAAAGAAAGTTTAGTTCATGAAATAAACATTTAAAAAAGCATAAATAATGTATATGACTATTGCAAAGGAAAGCGAGGTACAATCTGAGAAACAAGTGTAAGTGCAAAACACAAATGAAGAGTAAAGAGTTAGCACCTTTATTACTAGTTTCCAGTAGAGATACAATCCTATCATAGCTTGGGTGTGATAGGACCTTAAAGATCATGGAGTTCCAACCCCCTGCAACAGGCAGGGCCACCTTCCACTAGACAAGGCTGCTCAAAGCCCCATCCAACCCAGACTTGAACGCTGCCAGGGATGGGGCAGCCACAACTTCTCTGGGCAACCTGTGCTAGGGTCTCACCACCCTCATAGTAAGTATTTTTTTCTTAATATCCAATCTACATCTCCCCTTTATCAGTTTAAACACATTCCCCTTCTCCTGTCATGACATGTCCTTGTAAAATCCTTCTCCAGATTTTTTGTAGGCTCCCTTTATGTACCAGAAGACTATTACAAGGTCTCCCCAGAGCCTTCTCTTCTCCAAATTTAACCACCCCAATTCTCTGAGCCTCTCTTCAAGAGCAGCCCTTCAAGATGACCTTAGCTAACATTCTCCACTATCCAAATATACTAGTGTGCGAAAATGCTCATGGCTTACGAGGTTCCACTGATGCAGAGTCTTTATTCTATGGCAACGCAAGGGTTTATTATTACCTACACATGCTGTACAGTATAAAACATCAATGAAGCAACACTCCCCATACTTAGCTGCTTTAGATATTCCTTTCAAGATGAGCAAGTTACATCTAGTTTGTATATAAGACTGTCCTGTTTAAAAGTTATTCAAATTTGCTTAACAACTATAATCTCCATGGGCCTAAGATACATCTAAGAAAACTTACTTAAAATAAGCATATTCTGTTATTCCTTTATGCAAGACAGTTTACTCGTAAACTAAATTCCCTTTCTTACAGAGCAAAAGAGGAAAAAGTGGACACAGCATATAATTTTTCATTACCCTTGCTCTATTAGAAGCTTGAAATTACACAATACATTCAGAAAAATACTGCTTTTTTATTATTAACATAAGTGGTAGCTCTTTAAAAACATTTCAGTTCATATACGATGAATAAAAAGCTCTGGTGTTTATTAATCAAATTGTAATGTAATTAAGATTAATAAAACCAGTCATATTCATAATAATTGAAGAGAAACTGAAAAAATATCATCAAAATACTTAACAATTAATGTCTGTAAGATAATTTCAAAAGACCTGCTATCTTTATCCTTGGTATCATTCTTCACTGTTCTCCACTTCATGACATTTCTCTATAATACAAAACTGGGAGGAGTGGCTGACCCGCCAAAGGACCATGGTACCCTCCAGAGGTAACTGAGCAGGCTGGAGAAATGGGCTGACAGAAACCTCCCTAGAAAGTGCTCAAGGCCAGGTTGGACAGGTCCTTGAGCAAACTGGTCTAATGGGAGGTCTCCCTGCCCACGGCAGGGGTATTGGAACCGGATGATCTTAAGGTCCTTTCCAACCCAAACAATTCTACGATTCTATGATAATCATCTGGAGCCAAATAAATCAGTTTTTAGCACCCTATTTATTTCACTTCAGAGAAATGTAGTCTGTCACAAAATAAGGAAAAGAGCAAAGCATGTCTGTACACAGCATACGTATGGATGTGCAGAAAACATCCACTTCAGTGTTGCAGGCTAAGGAGAGAACAGCACTTGTCTGGCCTGTATTGGCATCAGCCCAGGATCAATATCCAGAGACGCCTCACAGATGAGGTTTGCAAGCTGAACAAGGACAATGGGAATAACCAGAGAGGAAACATATGAGATGGGTGACAGAAAGCAAAGGGATTTGAGATAGTGCATAATTTCATCAATTTCAAGACTGAAAACCAAATTTTATTAGTTACTTTTTTAAATACTACACCTACAACAGATGTTTAACTGCCCAGAAATAACCTGTGTAGGGCTACTAGTTAATGCTCTTACCATAATTCACCTTTTCCCAAATACAGTCACTGGAAGGAAAAAGCCAAACAGACTGCTTTCCAAATTTAAGCTACTTATGCAAAATGAGAGGAAACAACACAAGAAAGTTTTATTTTTCCTTACCAATTACATGCTTGCTCTGCAGCCACTGAATACTTGAAGAAAATAGTTAATTGCCTGATAATTGGCAATTAATTGGCCTCTGCTTTTATATTTACAGCCCTGCGGAATATTGATGTGTCAAAGGCTGCAGTACATCAAAAGAAACGAAGAAGCTTATAAGTCTGCATATAGCTCACTAGAAAAATCAGAGACACAGCGCCCTATCAGCATAATATCCAAACTGTGAAAAGCTGTACAAATCAATTCATAGCAAATAAATAATAACTTGCCTAAGAGAATGATTCCAAAACATCAGTTTAAATCACAAAGACATCTGTATTTTTGTGCAAGTGTAACAGACATCTATCTTTTCTTCTATTAAGAGAGTTGGTTTAAAAAAAGTCAATACAGACAGCTAAAAGAGAAAAGGAGGAGGAAAGGTGTTAGGAAGGCTACTATCCTTCTCCTACATTTACTCCCTGTTGACCAAACTAGATTATGTTATCTGCCTATGTGCTTACCCCAGTACACTTACTCTTAGCCACACAATTTCACCAATGATGACAGGAATGCATTTGATCTAAAGGAACTTCACTACCTGTAAGAATTTTCCAGGAATAATAAAAAAAAACAAAACGAAACAAAACAACCCAAAACTAACAACAACAAAACCCTTAAAAAAAAAAAAGAAAAAAAAAAGAAAAAAAAAAAAACAAACCTGCATACTTTTTTTTGCAGAAAATGGCAATTTTGCACTCTTCCTTTAGTATTATGTGATGCTACCACTGTTTGCAATAGATTTTGCTGAGCTCATCTTCACCTTTTGCTTGCAGTGTTTCCATAGCAGAAAAAAATTCTAACTAAGCCTCAGAACAGAAAGCCAGTCTGCCAAACTTCTCTAAGTTTTGCATCCTCATCTTCATCCCACCTCCTTCCCCCTTTTCATCCCCCCCCCCCCTTTTGTGTGTGTATTCTGATTTTGCTTTTTTCTGCTGTGAGGTATTTGGGTGCTTTGTGGGAGGGTTTTTTCTTTTGTTATTGTTTAAAAAAAAAAAAAAAAAGAGTTCAGTCACATTAGAAGAAATTCAGCATGTATCCCATGTAATTAAGAATCTGCAGCTTACCAGACAGCCTTCATTAACTTCAAGTACTTCCAAGTTTTAAGAGCTAGTGCATGAATCTTCCTATTATGGCTGTAGAAACTGTTTTTTTCCTGTACCCAAAATGATGTAAAAATGCTTGCATAAATTAAATGCCTCAACTGTCTCTCACAGCTAAGAAAACTTAATTACCTTTTTTTTCTGCTTTTTCCTTCTTTTTCTTTTCTTCATCTTCACCTTTATTTTCATCCTTGGAACCAGTAGATGATGCGACTGCTGTAGTTTGTGAAATATCATCTGAAACCGAAGCTGTAGAAACGGCTGTACCAGGAGGAACTGTGATCTGTTTTACTAAAATCAAAACCACAGAAGTTAGAAGGATTACCAGAACTTTGAACATTTAAAGTTTCTGACATAGATGAAACAGTAGAGAGAACTGAGAATTTTGCTTAAAATACCTACATTACAGCTGCTGAATAGTGAAGCACAACGTTGTGAAACACATTTCAGAACTCAATCTATATATGATCATTGTGATCAGTTAAGAACGCCTTTGACTGTGTTCATCTAATTTCTGTGTTCAACTACTTAAATCTGTCAGAGTAGCATACACTAATTTACTTAAAAGAAAAAACCAAACTCTTAATTTAGTCCTATCACCTTGTAGATAAAACAGCTAAATAAAGCTGGTTTCCATCTTGGAAAAAAATAATCCTTGAAACCTCTCTCAAACATAACAAATTCTGTGAAATATCCAACACCTGTCAAGTATTGCTGCAAAGTAACAGACAATGGAAAAATATTTCTCTGCATTTATACAATGCTAATCTCTCTGAAAACGGAATGCGTTGTTTTACCAGAAAAAACATTCAATACAGTTGAAAGCTAGGATCCAGCTAAATTGGATACTATCTCTGACAGCATGGGTAAAAATAGTAATAGCTGTTGATGGCAGAAGAGGCTTTCTTTGAAAATAATTTTAAACAAAACATGCAGGATCTGAAACACTTCAGTTTTGTTTTTTTCTCCTTTCTTTTTACTACAAATTATATAAAGATGGTGCAAGATGAACAGAGCTACACAGAGGAGTGCAAAGAAGGAAAAAGTGCAATGAACGGCTGGTCTTACTAAAGCATGAAATCAGCAATTCAAAACACATTGTTTCTAATTTTACATTACCACAGATTTTCTAATAAGTCACTGCCTATCTGTACTTTGAACTATGGCTTGATTTTCCATAGGGATTTTTCAGTCATGACAGATTAAAACCTTGCGAGCATCACAAAGTGTTAGACATTCAGCAATCTAAGGTACTATAAGTAGTCACTGCCATCAGTCAAATTCATGGCTAATTATGAAAGTCATTGGACAAAATCATACAGAGAAGCAGTTCCATGTCTGATTAAGGTCTAGCATGTTAGTCTTGCACGTAATAAAATGTTGGAATTGAGTAACTTGTCATAGGCATGGAACCTAGGAAAATCCAGAATTTGTAAGAAATACCACAGAGTCACATAGAGAAAGATAAAAATCAAGACAGTTCAGATCATATTTTGTGCTAAGTAGATCTATGTTGGATGAGGATAGGACTCTTCCCCCACCTCCATTTCGAATTTCTGCCTGGATCAGCTCCTGTTTCAGCCCTTCAATTTCTTTCTTCAGTTTAGCGTTTTCCACACGGAGCTTCTTCTCTTCTCGGAGAGATGCCTGCAAGACTAGAGGTTTCAATCATTCATTAGGGTTCAATCATTAGGGTTCATAATTTGGCAAACAGAGGTTTGGTTGTTTCTTTTTTTAAAGAAAAGTGAAACACAGTGAGCAAAACAAAAAAGTGGAAGCTTTCAAGGAGTATGTAATCAGAGATATTTTGTAATCCTTTTTTGTTGAAATAGCCATTTTTTACAATACTTATGTACTCACATTGCCTCTCAATATACTAGCTTCTCAGACCCCTAAACAGACTCACAAGAAATCTCTTTGAAAAAGCTTGTTCATGTTTATAATACAGAGCACCTTAATTCATTGATACCAATATAAAAGTTGAAGGTATGATACTCTTGAGAGAAACCCAGTGGTGAAAAAGCAGTAACACATTCAGGCAAATGCACAGCCTCACACTGCTCCTGACTCCCTTTCTCCCCCCAGGTAGGACTGTGTCCTACTGAATTTCCATTACCTGTTTGTGTCATTAATCCTTCCTCATTCATGCCTTTTCATCTTCAGAATAAGCAGCTTCAAAAAAACCCCACAAACCACTAGAAAGTGAAGTAGTGCTACTATTACAATCTTTATCTTGGAGATCTTATAAGGCTTATAAGGCTGACAACATCAGTGAAGTTGTCCATGTTCTCATTTTTTTCCTACAAGGAGTTAATGTTAACCACCTGGTTAATGAGTTTATCATAAGATAGGTAATTCCTTACTAGCTTTCTCCTTGAGCAGAGCAACTTGTTGCTTGAGGTATTCAATAACTTGATCGGCCTCTGCACCCTTCTGCTCCAGTCTGTTCAGCACTGCATTGTTGGCTGCCATCTTTACCAAGAAACGGGCTGAAAACCTAGACAACAACAGACAGTCTAAAATTAATGACTTCTTAACATAATAATGCTGCCATCTCTCACCTAAATTCAGTTGCTGGATAAGGAAATTTGATAAATGAAGAAGCTGGGCTCTCACCTCCTAATGCAAAGCCCAAACAAAAAGCAACGTTGAATAGAATCTATGTCTGACAGCTGCTTTCAAGTATTTTGGAAGAAAAGCTACCTTTCTTCCCAGCTGCAGAAAACATGTTCTTCCTTTATGAAACAAAAAATTCCACCTTCTCACAAAGGTCTGAATAAATCAGGGGAGGGGGAAGAAGGAAATAAAAGAGAAAAGGCTGGACAGCAGAATACCGTGTCCTGGTTTCAGCTGAATAATTTATTAAATGTATGCAGAATTTTATTGAGACTAAGAAAATAGAAACATCCCACAAAAAATTCCAAACTTTTCTAATAAATTTATTAAAAATATACTGAATACTTCACACACTGTGGTTGTGCCTACATTAAGAATTCCTGTTATTTTATTTTTAAGCAGAATTTATCAGAATTTTTACTCAGGTTGATACAACTTTTATTCCAGGTTTACACCTTCAGAGTTATTTTGTTTCCAGTAAAATGGAAGGCTGGGCACAGAGTTAACAAATTAAAGAAGAAGGAAAAACAGAAGATCAGTAAACGCAAGAGCACAAATAAATGCTGTTCAACCTTCTTTTAGCATGTTCAACTCCTTTTATTTGGTTTCTGTAATGTTCCAGAAACTAGCTATACCTTGTGTATAGCCCATATTTCTTGAAAGCTACCATATTTGGCTACTTCCTTCTCTGCAACATTTGTGTCTGACCACAAAAGCTTGTATAGTATCAACAGAATGATGAAATACAGTCACTCATATCTGCAGCAGATCCTTTATCAGTATCTGGATGAACAAAGAAACTGTACTAAAAGCTGGCACATCTTTAAATCAAGAAAACTGATTATAGGTGGGAAGAAAAGACACCTTGCAGATCTTCACAAATAACAGTGATACAATTCCAGTGAATTTCCCCATCAACTGCAACAAAGGGAAGAACTGGTAAGAAAATGGTAATTCAGATGCATGCATTGGCTCCTCAACCTTATCAAAGCCCAAAAACGCCTTTTCCCACATCAAAGCAGAAGAAAACTTTCCATTTTATTGCAAGATTATTCTGACACTATGACCTAAATCTGTTTTTAACATACCAATATGCTCTGTTAGTATTTGCAACAAAAGCCATGCTGAAAACAAAACAGGTTTAGAAATAACTCAAAGGTGAACAGATAGAATCACACTCATGCCAGTGTTAAAGTATCACCTTACTGCGCTCTCGGTATCAACTTATATTTGATATCTGATCTTCTATTACAAAGAACTTAATTCTCCATAGCTATAGATCTTTAAGAAAAAACAGCAAAAGACAATGAATAAAACTCAGTCTAATTAAAAGTTCCCAAAGTAAAATTCACAATGCCAGTGAGATATACAGTAGTCAGATGATACATGTGGTATACTGCTCCTGCACAAAGATGAATGAACCAACATCTTGACTCCTTTGCAATCTAATAAGATCACAGTCTGCTTTACACACACTGCTTCACTTAAAGATGCAAGAGCATTACTGCCATCACACCTTCTGACCATCCACAACAGATTTTTCTTTTAAAAGAAAGGGATTCTCATGGACAGAAAAACTGTAAAATAATCTCCTTGGAACAGCTAAATTAATTTTAATATTCAAATTAATCTCTGCTATTAAGAAAATAATTTCTGCTTTATGCGCAATTTGAAAACAGAGGGTTTTAAAAAAGGAAAGTTATTCCAATAAGTTACTGATTTAGTTGTCAAATTGAAATAGACATAAAAACTATTATGGCACAAACCAGCATAATACAAAGTCTGGGGTATTACTGTCTGCATACCAGTAAGATTTCCTGCAAGCTACATATTCTCTCAGGGAAACACAATACTAACAGTGGAAACTTTGCCAATAACAACAGAAATGCTACAAATACTTCAAAGTGAATAGAACTGGTACATTTTATAGGTTTTAGCCAAGTTGGCTAATGAACTGAAGATCAGGAAATGAAGTTACATGATTACAACAGGTAGGCATTTTCCCAGTTGTCAAATAAATTTCTGTAAACCTAGTATTATAACAGTAACACATAGGAACAGGTATTTCCAATAGTAATATAAAGAGCCAACAGGCTGAAATGAACTGCTGCACATACAACAGAGTGATAAAACTGTATCTAAAAGGGGTACATAAAAAAACAGTTAAGCCCCATCCTTTATTACAAAACACAAAGCACATTAAAAAATTTAGCACTGCAACAATAAAAAGTTACAGTCAATTCATTATTTTTTTAAGCTTTTCCCCATTTCTTTTGTCTTCTATTATGCTAATAGCCCCCCCACTCCACAGGAAAAAAAAGCCCTCAAAGCACCAACTCCTATTGGCAATACACAAAGAAAGAAATAATATAGCTTAAAAAACCTGAATTGTATCTTGTTGCAGAAAACATTCCAGAGGCCAACTGACAATACTGTCACTTCATACAGTGTGCCTAATGATATGCTTTCTCTTCAAACAAAAAAACAGTTCTGAAAAAAAAAAACCAAGTAAGGAGTAGCTATATTCATACCTTCTGAAAAGGTTAACTTCTTCAAGTTAGCTGGTTAAACAGTTTCCCTTAGCTAAGAAATATTAGACCTCTGAGGACTTCGTTACCTACAAGACATTCAGAACCACTCCAAAACTGACTTGCTCCACTACAATGGAACCCAATCTTCAAATGAAAGACTCAAGTCCTGCAGTTATTATTAAGTTACATATCAAGACATAAAAGTTGCTAATTTCTCATCATTCTACTTGCTGATTGAGTTGCCTATCTTTTTGAGTTGCCTATCTTTTTGAGTTGCCTATCTTTTTGAGTTGCCTATCTTTTTTAAACAGAACACATTGCCTCCTGCGGTCTTCTAAGTAGCTGCAGTAACCTTAGAGGAGAAAACAAGCATTATTCTACTTTGTTTCTCTAGAACATAACACGAAAGGGTCCCCAAAATGACAAACTGTAATAAATCAAGACTTCTCATATAGTACAAATTACCCCCAAATTTCAATGTTTTACGAATACTGGTTTATCAACATTGGCCTTGACCTTAAAATATATCCAGATCAAAAACTGATGGCTTGGCTTCGTGAGCGAAGATTTGGGAAGGGCTTTAACCATGCTTGCTACAAGCATGATGACCAAGGGCAAGTGGGATATGCAAATCTGGTCGGAAAAAAGGGTGCTTAGGCAATCAGGAAGTATCTGACCAGGACTGTTATCTCCTGAGCGATTTCGAGCTACCCATGCGCTGGTCCGGCCGCATGCAAGGTTGGATCTGAAGCTTCCCATGCACCTTGTCACCTACTGTTTCAACCCTCGCCTGTCCATACAGACAAGTGAGAGTAAGCCCTTCCCCCCTGAGCAGTGGATTTTTTAGGTGAGGCGCAGCTTGTGCAGAACTGGCCCCATCCTTTAAACCTGAGGTTTAACTGCCACAGCCCAGTTAGCTAGGACGGTGACAGCAAAGTCCACAGGTCGTAGGTTTTGTAAGAGTGTCCTTTGACGGAAGGCCATACAAGGCTAGACGAGCTCCATCAGCCCGGGTTTGAAGATAGGAGTTTTCCTTCTCCTATGAGGAAGGCCTGTCTTCACTAACAAAGATTCAGGAAGACCTTCACCCACGCATTCTGAACAAGACTGTCATCTCCAAGGTCAATCACAAGCAACTGATGACACAGTAGCACAAGAGGCATCTAAGCGGGATACTTAGAGGTGTTCAGTCATAAGCCTGCAGATGGTAGCCTCGCACCAAGAAGATGCTGAAAACATAAAACTTGTTATAGTTCCCTCGGCAACATTAGTATATTTTTTTTGTTTGTTTTACAAGCAATGAAAAGCCAAATACCCATAAAATTAATGACAAGATTTAAAACTCAAACTCTAAAAACTGCGTCTGGAATCTAGCCATAGTCTGAACACATAATCAATTACTTTTCACTATTAGAAAAGAAATCATTTAACAACAACAACAACAACAAAAATACACAAAACCACAACCCAGAAATTAGAAGTCAACTTATTCCCAAAACCTAAAATAATCAGCTCTAAGCATTCCTTTTTTCCAGCTGGGGGCTTAAAAAAAGTTCAGTACTTTAACGTTCTCAGCTTTTTCTTGCAATGCTTTGTTAATGTCAACACACAAGACTACTAAACACGAGATCTAACACACAGGCTGCTTATTAAGACCTACTGCCTACAGATCAACATGTTCTCCATGTATGTGTCGGGTACATCTGTGACAGTGATGAAGCTTTATTTCAGCATTTTCAACACAGTAGATTTTTATGCTGCTCACTTAGGTAACAGGCATCTTATTGTTCTCAATTTTTCCCCATGGGCCTTAATGCAACACAACCAAACACCATGTGCATTTCCGTTGGTCACGCTGAGCATATGTACAGACAAAAAGTACATAAATTTCCTCTCAAACTATGTAAAATGAAATAAAATTACCACAACTCCTCTCTTCTTCTCTCACATAAACACTAACTCCTCCACAATACCAGGGTAAACTTCAACATCATTCTGACTCATTATTGCTCTTCACTTTGTGCTAGCTATGGAGGAATCAAGTGTTTTCACATCAAAGCCAATCCTACTGATCTATATCAAAGAGCAGACAGCAATAAGAAGATGACCCAGACAGCATAAACATATGCCTTACAGAGAGTACCATGTTTATGAATAGCCATCAACCAAGACCTAAGGCAAGGAACCACTACAGGAGAAAGTAAAAGCCTGAAAAAAAGTTGTTTGCTTTTCAGTTGAGAATTGCAATTCTCAACTGAAAAGAAAAAAATTAGAAGTTTGTCTCATGAAGCAGAACCGGTGGGATCAGCATTATTTTAAAAGCTATCAATGACACAAAGGTAGTACCTCC